GACCATGTAATGATCGCGAATTCCAAGATGATGGATACTTCTCATATAATCTCTTTCTCTAAAATGGACTCCATCCCGGGACAAGTTATTGAAATTGTATTGAGTTATTGATTGAATGTGATTGTCTTGTTTTGCAGAAAGGTCATTCAGTGCTTGGTAAGTAAACTAAATATTATGTATTCCTCTCCCCCTCCCCTATTTTATTTCTTATTCATCATAATCTACTTCTCCTTGCTCTTCCTTCTGTATGCTAATGCTCGCAAAGGTCAAACTGACTCATCAACTTAACATGACTCTAGCTATGTATTTCTTCAATTTTTATTTCCTTAAAGGGACATAGTCCACCAGCATTCACTGCAATCTTGTTTTAGATTTTTCATATATGGAAAATGAGTTGACTAAGAAAATTCACTCGCAATCCGTTTCCATCCATTCGGTTTAAAGGTCGATTCTCACAGTATCTCCATTTATCTAGTATAAATATGGATAATAAAGAGTATGTTTTTGCTTATATTACAATGTATTTTTATTTTCAAACATGAGCAAAGCTCGAAAGGGATGCTGGTGGACCATGTCCCTTTAAAAGTAGCCAAGCTCATCGATAACCAAGCCTGCGCGCTGGCGTTCTTAGTCGGGGTGAGAGCGAAGAAACGGAAGAACAATGGGCTGCTGCTGCAGGCTTTCCCTTCCGTTTGTTCGCTCCGCCCCCAATTAGGAACGACTGCACGCAGGCTATTGATAACGCAATTATAACGTATAAATATTGACTTGATATATATGATAACAGCAAAGATTGCATATCTTAATTTAATTTGCATTGACCTTCGTTCCAAATGGCGTCACATACTGTCGTCATATAACATGATGATGCCTAAAAATATTATATTGATTTCAGATTCATCATGTAAAAATCTCAAGAATTATGTGCGTTTTGCTTGTAGTTCTTTTCAACACGTTCCTATCACCCGGGCTTGACTTTCATTTTCTTTTTGCGAGTAATAAAGAAAAAAATAACAGTCAACTCAATGAATGTTGCTGGACTGACATAAGACATCATGCTGTAATTATTTTCAAAATTTACTATTTTTATGTTTTGAAGTTGTTGAAATCGAAAAGAATTGATACGAAAAGAAAAGCAAAAAATAAATAAAACAAACAAACAGCAACTAAGTATAAATCGGCCTGGTGTGAAAGCGCTCAACATCTAATTAAAAGGACCAAAGACCTCCGGCATTCTTCATATTTCTTGCTGAAGTCAATGATGGGTTATTCTTTTTGTTTGTTTTGCAGGTAACAGAGAACCTCGTTCAAACTGATTAGTAAAAGCAGCAAATGTAATTGGTGTTGGGCTATTAAAATACATGACCTAAACTTGAGTCAAAGCTTTTTTCGCTGCTGCAGCGTAGCACGACTCTAACACGCCTGAACAGCGCGAGGCAAGGAAGCGATCCTAATTCAGAAAATATGGAAMGTTCAGAGCTGATATTGATGTTATCTCCCCATAATGCATTGCTTTCGCTGYTTAAACAATGGATTTCTTTGTTTTTGCCGTCCAAAAAATGTATACGTCACTTACACCGTCATGCACACCGGACGCTAATTATAAATATTCAATACACGAGGAAGCAAGAATTTCCAGTGGGAAATATTGAAGAAATATCTGCTAGACCTGTACCCTGGTTCCAGAGGCTTATATTTTATTCTCTTCCTCACTATCTCTTGTGCGAAAAAAAAAGAGCGGAATTAAACCGTGTAATTTAGAGCAACATAAAATAATAATTACTATGTTACTATGTTATCGAGCCAACTTCAAAAACAAACCGATTAACGGAAACTTCTCGAMACTTCACGGCGTAACTTTCTCTGAGTTTTTCATCAATGACSGTGATAATTCACAAAGCATGATTATAGGGTTGGATATTTCATTTTGTATTATGGTTTCAATTTCACGTTCAATCTC